TAATCATTCCTGTGTCTCTTGCATCTGATACAGTGACTGGTACTGAGTAACTTCTTGTGAAGTGAAATAAAGAAAACATGACAACAAATAGGGGCCAATTTTCTATTCTTTAACGTACTGCCTCATAATGTTACTGTAAAAATTTTCGATTATAGTCACAATGGTTACGTTTTCCTTCTCCCCCAAACACCTTGCTCTTTTATATATTCCTTTTGAGATGTAAATCATGTTACTCTTCTCCTTTTGTGGCTTGTTACCCATTTAGATTTTATCTAGAGTCCTTACCTTAGCTTACAAGACCCTATGTGATCTGGAACCCAGCTACTTCTAAATCAATTTGCTGTTCCTTCTGTGACCCACGGTGCTTCAGCCAGCTGGCCTCCTGATAGTTCCTGAGCCGGTGAAAACACCAGCCTTGGCACCTTTGCACTTGCTGTTTCTTCTTGGAATGCTCTCCCCCATATATCTTTGTGGTTCCCTCCCTTACTAATTTAGTCTTTGCTTAAATGTTGCCTTCCCAAAGGTATTTCCTGGTCATCCTAGTTGAAATATTGGCTCCCATCACTTGTTATCCCCTTACGTTGATTCTTGTTTATCCTTAAAGCTTACCACAATCTAAGATGTTAAATATCTATGTTTAATTATGTCTCTTTTTAGAAATATAAGCTCCAGAAGGGCAGAGACTTTGTTTTGTAACTTTGTATCCCTACTGTCTAGAACATTTGCAGTACGCGTTGAATTAGAGGGTGAATAGATTTTCTGTGCCTTTGTAGATTTTATATGCCTTTGTGCTTTTACTTTTCTCCTTTTCACCTCTTCAGTCCTTAACATGTCCTGTGAGAATTATTTCCATGCCCATTTTCTTCTGCTGCCCTGGATGATCCTTCTTCTCTGAGTTAGTATAAAACTTGTACTTTGTTTTACATTTATGCCTACAGAGTAGAGGAATGGGTCTCAACCCTCTAATGGGTCTAATACAGAATTACATATGGTCTTGGTACTCAGTAGGAACTGTGGGCTACCAGTTGCATGAGTTGAATAGGTCATATTTAATAAATGAAGTACTTATTATTGACTGGAAAATCAGAGATTGTTTATTGGGAATATATGTGTCAGCCCTATTCTAAGTGTTTGACTTTAATTAACTAATTTACTCTGTAGGAACTATTATTGTTCTCATTTCATAGACAAGAAAAGCAGGAAGATGACAGCTTAAAGTGTGGCCCATGGGCTAACAGCATCTGCCTAATATAAATGTAGACTCCCAGGCCCCTCCCCAGGCCTATTGAATCAGAATTTAAAAACAAGTAATATGCTTTGGCCTCAAACTTAGAGGTGCAGTAAGAGCTTTAGGATGGCCAAGACAGTAGTGTTGTTAAAAAGCTCTGCAAGATGTTTGTGATGGTAGTCAAGGTTGAGGACTACTGAGGTAGATCCTTGTTACTGGTGTACCATAAAATACTGTGCAGTGTTACTGAAAAACTAGTGATTTGAGACCCATAGTCTTCTTAAATGTAAGACTAAGAGAATTACAAGGGTAATTCCTAAAAGTAATCCTGTTTTATTGACCTATTTTCTTACTATACCATATTTTGGGGATGGGGCAAGCAACCTTATTTTAAGCACTTCACTGGTAGTATTCTGTAAAACCATAAGGCAGCTTTGCCACAAGCATGCTTGTTTTGCTATACTTGACACTGGATCTCTGATTTATTCTCTTCAGTCTTGCAAATTCACTTAATTGTGGGCCACTGGAAAGTTTTAAATTATCATGGCATTGACTTTTGGGATCCCTTAGAATAGTCTACTCTCCCCACAAGTGTTCAACTTTTAATGTGTGCATACCTGGTCTGCCATCTGAGATTGGATGTTATACTACTTTGTAACCACCTTTATATAGAACTTAGCATAGGAATGAATTAATACAGCAATGTGACATTTAAAACGTGTATTATTTATTTGGGTAGTAATGTGGTATTTGAGGTAGCTGTAGCATAATTGCATGGTAGTTACATTTGACTGCTTGGGTTCAAATTCTGGCTGTGCTGCTCACTAACAGTATGAGCCAGTCAAATTATTTATCTTCTCTGTACATAGATTCCTTATCTATAAAATGGGGATAGTAATAGTACCTATAGGATTAAACTAATTAATAAAGTTCAGAGCCATAGAATAGGGCTGGCACATCTGTTCTCAATAAACAATCTTTGATTCTTTGACCAAGAATAATAATTGCTCCATTTACAGCTCTTACAACAGATGCAGTGACAGAGTAGGATTTATACTCTGGTGTTCCTGTTTCTAAAGCCCATGTCTTTCTAGATAATGCATCTATGAACATGGGTATCAGGATTTAGAAGCAGTATCGATGCGACTAAAATATTATCTTGCCTTATGGTCTAAATTTTTTACCTAAGTGGTGTGATTGATACTTTAGCAGCTCCATGGAGGATAGTAGGGCATTATTCTCATTTGACACATGAAAAACTAAGTTTTCAAAGTTTTTCAGGGTCACAAGCTACCCATTTGTCTCTTAAACAAGTGTTCATTTGGGTAATTTTCTCTACACCTTGTGGAGCCCTTATATTCCTTAATGGTGCATTTTATTTGTGGTAGTCCTTGATTGTCAAAACAGTAACAAACTCCTTGCCTTGATCTCACATATCCTCTCAGTAATCCATCACCCATCACCCCCTCCTCCACATACGCACAGGTGCGTTGGGCATCTGTTACAGGGCGGCATTGCAAGGTAGGCCTGGGCTGCTCCTTGCCCGTCTGGTTTCTGCTTTTCACCTCTTCCTGATAACTTGGGTATGTACGGAATTGGGGGTCAGGACTCAAGCTACCATTATCTCATAGTGAAGCCTTGCAGAAGCCTCTGGACTTCTATACCCGGAAGCTGTATTTTCCCCCCTCGTTTTTTGAAGACAGAATTGAATTTGATGATTTTTAGAGTAACTTCCAGCTTTAAATCTTTGTGTATTTTTTGTAGTAATGTGATAACTTTGGTTATGATATAGTCTTTCTTGGTAGTAAAGCAGATGTGAGCAACCCAAGTAGGGAGAGAAGAGAATTTATCAGTGTTTAAAATGTGTGTGTGTGTGTCTTAGTGCACAAGAGTGTATGTCTTAGTGTGTAAGGGAAAAGTACAGGCTTCAGAGTGAGATTTATGTTCAGATTTCAGGGCCAGTCCTTCTTATCCATGTGACCTTTAGGTACATTATTTTACTTTCTTGCTATCAGCTTTATCATCTATAAAGAGGATTAATGATACCTATCTCATAGAATTGTTCTGGTTTTTACTTAAAATAATTTCTAGCACATAGAGGATGATCAGAAATGATACCCCTTCCTAGGGAATAGGTTTTAGTTACTGAAGAAAAGTTTACTTATTTAGAAATTGTGGGCAAAATCTATTCTATCCAAGCATAATAAGTTATTTATTATCCTTTGAAACCAGAACTTTGAAAAAGCTATAAATGGGTTGTGCAAATGGTGGTATTATTTTACTTAGACTCTGGTGTGTTGAAATGTACTCATGAACTTTGCTATGTCGAGTTAGTTGCCAAATGGATTTTTGTGATTTGATATTCATCTTACTCAAAGCTAAAGGACCTGAAATGGTTCTCTAGCCACTAGTTCAAGTTGAAAGCATCTCAGGCAGGTTTTTACACAGACAGAACATAGCAGATATTTGGTTAGCTTTTATGAGAATTGCTTGCTATGATAATCTTTCCCCAGGCATTTTTACACTTTTTTTCGGTCGGTACTTGAAGTATTAAATATTATCCAAGAATTCCAGTGTAAAGCATCACAGAGTCCAAATGTTCTATAATTGATACTTATAATAATATTTACTTATGTGTAGTTATATGAAAAGTACTAAGATGTGGCCTTGGAACCAGTTTGATCTTTTTATGGAATTACTTTAGGTACATGTACTAATTAATTCTGCATTTTGTATAGTTATTTCATGTGTCCATTTGCCCTAGATTTAAATCGTAAAGAATGTTGGAATTAATGTCATATTTCTTTCTGTTTTCAAAGTACTAATTATTTTTTAATGAAATGCTACTACTGTCAAAGGAAGCGTTCTTCCTTAGTTCCATCAGTTATTTTCACTGATTTTCCTTTAGTTGAAGAAAGAAAATCTAAGGCTGGTATTCAGGCATTTGTGATATTCTCAATTGATATAGCCATAATATAAACAGAAACAGGAGTAATATCATGGTTGTACATTTAGTTTTAAATAACCATATTATTAATTGCTGGGAATATTGCATAAATGCTTTATTTCGGATCACTATAAAATATCTTACTTAATATTTCCCCCTCTTTTATTTCTGTGTCTAAATTTTCTATTGAAATAAGCAAAAAACCCAAAACAAACAGATGATGAATCAAAATTTGAGACAGTAGTGAATTCATGTTTTGCTCTTTTATGGAGAATAACTTTTTGTTTATTGTTGTGTGCTATGTGAAAATGGACCAGCGTGCTAAGATAGTTTCCATCACAGTTTTGTATAATAGTACAAGGCCTATGTCTTTTCTAAACAAGGAAAATATTTTAACTTAGAATGCTACACAGAAGCCAGATATACTTACTTTCCTCTTGGTACATCAGTGTCCTAAAGCTTTTAGGAGAAAATGGTTTAAAAAATTGTTTTCATGTCTAGATTGTACGTAAAATCACTTGTCATAGTGAGTTGCAAAATGCAGACCTTCATTCTGAAGCTGCCTGTTTCTCATTTAGATCTGACATATTAAAAAGCATATAATTAATGGTTGACAGTAATTAACATTAACTTTATGGTGCTTAATATGCCATCATTCATCCATCAAATAAGCAGAAATGCATAATGTCTTAGCATAAAGGTTTTAATTATATAAAATGGCCCTTCAGTTTTCATGTGGTATACATGTTAAAAGTCCAAAATGTATTTAAAGATGATTTTTGTAAGCATTTGTTGGGTGCTAGCTTTATTTTTATTTCTTTTTAGGGATATGCATCAACAATTGTGTCAGGAACTTCAGAAAGAAAATGTGGACCTGGCTGTGCAGTCTTCATTGTTGGCTAAAGAGCGCCACCTTGCTGCAGCTGCCAGTGCACTATGGAGACATTTCTTTTCATTTTTGAAGAGTCAGAGAATGTTACAAACAGTGCCTTTCTCACAAGTTGCGGATACCGCTGCAGGTCAGCTTTGTAATCTGCTAATTAGTTATCATTCTGCAAACTCTGTCAGCTTTTTCTTGTTTGTTTGTTAACAAACTCTTATTTTGTAAGTGTACTAAATATTTTGACAACCAGAAAGATGAAAATAATTACATATTTTTTTAATTAGGATCCTTTGGCTTGTTTATTATTTTCCTTTTAATAAAGGTAAAAATTAAATTTTTATTTGCTAAAAAGATTTAATCTTAAAATTATTGAAAGTACATGAAATTCTCTTATGCGTGTAATATATAGAAAGTAAAGTAGCATTTGATGTATTTTAGTCCAGGTTGTTTATTTTCAGATCATATGTGTCTATAATCTCAGTCAGGTGAAGTTTCATATGTACAGAGCATGAGTAGAGCGGAAATTCTACTTCCACACCAAGTAGATAAATCAGAATGACATCGAGTATATGGAACGTTATTGTTTGGAATTATACTAGATTCTATTTCAGGTTGTAATTTTTATTTGATTTGATTATTAGCCTGACGACATATCCTTAGGCTTTAAGGGGCTCTGAATCACATGACATTGTAGGCGAGAATCTGAACATGTGCATGTATGTAGCTTTCTCAGAGCAGGATTCAAGGGATATTTTGCCCAAAATATGTCAACAAGGACTAGAATTGACAGAGATCACTACAGTGACTGCATGTCTTTAAATGCAATTTATATGAAGTTTTGTAGTGTATTTAACTGTAATGCTTTGAAAAACCTAAGGTACCCTTGTGTGGTTGAGGAAGTCTGATCTAAAAGCGCCATATAAAAGACTGAATGATACAAATTTTAAAAGATCTTGAATTCTGGTAGCATGTCTATAATTACAACATAAAGGACGATCGATCGAAAAACTGTGACAGGGCATCGGTTTTCCAACTGCTGTAATGTCTATGAAAACAAATATTGATATTCAATCAGTATAATCAAAGCAGTCATTAGTAACCGATATTACTTATCTTTCTTCCATTCATCATTCCAGTGAACAAAAATGATAGCACACAAGTTTAGTCAGTGCTGTCCTAGGTGCTGAAAGTAAGTGGTATATACCCAAAATATGTGTGGGTTTGGGGCTTGTTTTTAAATATAGGTAGGTTAGGAGAAAAAATTTTCCTGCATTTAACACCC